TCTCTGGACCTGGAGAAGAGGCTGCAGGGAAGCCCTCTGCTTTCAGTGTCATGTGGGCCTGCTGACCGGGCAGGCTACACTGCATGGCAGGCGACACAGCAGTGCGGTCTGAGCCCTGCACTCCTTTCTGGGGAGATGCCCCCCCCTCCATGGGCCTCAACTCAGGCAATGCCCTCCCAAACCCCGGAGACACGTGCTGGCCAAGGCCCATGTCGGCTGTGAGAGCCTCTCTGTGCCTGCCCTGAGGGCCAGTTGGGGGGGACAACACGACCAGGACACAGAGTGAACTGCCTGGTGCCATGGGGGCTTCTGCTTGTCATCCGAGGGCGTGACATGTCGTGGGGGGGGGTCGGGTCCTGTCACTGCCTGTGTTTCAATCTGGGGACCCGCCTCCTGAGTGTCTGCATGTCGGTGTGTGTGTGTGTGTGCGTGTGTGCGCACGCGCTGGGTTGGCCCTGTAGCCATAGCCACCTGTGGGCGTTCCCCCCTACCCCCCGCAGGGCACACCGGCCGACGTCCTGTACAAGGGGACCATCACCAGGGTCGTCGGCGAGGACAGCCCTAGCCGCCTGGACCGGAGCCGGGAGGATGGGCTGCCCAAGGGCCACGTCATCTACGAGGGCAAGAAGGGCCACGTGTTGTCCTATGAGGGTGAGTGGGCCCCTCGGCTGCCGTCTCTGGAAACAGACCAGCTGCAACCACGCCGCACATGGGGGCCGCTCGCCCCAATCCGCTCGGCACGGCTCTCCCACAGACACACCGAGCGACAGCAGCCCCTGCCTCTTGGCCAAGCGTCCTAGGAAGGCCAGCCGGAGGCGCCTGTGTCCCTGCAGCCGGGTGGCCATCAACTAGCATAGGGTTTTTCCCGGGGTGCCAATGTGAGAATTGGGGGCTAGCAATACCCAGGGACCCTCCCTCTCCCCGGCCCTTCAAGGGAGGAAAATGGAGGGGGTCTGTAGGGAGGCGAGCAGGGACGTGTAGCCGGGTAGTGCCCTCCCTGTAGTCCCTGGAGGGAGCAGGCAGGAGCGGCTTCAGCAGCAGGTCACACCTGGCCCTCTGCCTGCTTCAGACCACAGGCCTCCCTCGGGGTGCACTGGGGATGGGGGAGAGGCTTGGGCGCCAGACCATCTGGGAGCTCCGGCGCTGCCAGGGCGTGTCCCCAAGCCTTGGTTTACCGTTTCCAGCGTGCTCACTCTGGGGCCCAGTGCCGGGGTGGCATCAGAGAGCGGGGCAGGCCAGCACGTCTGTGAGCCTCCCGTCCCCAGTTAGCTGCAGTCTCCCAGGGCTCCACTCCGGGAGCTCCTCTGGAAGGTTCTAGAACTGCAGCTAGATCATCCCAGGCCACCAGCAAGTCACCCCGGGGTAGCGGGGGCACTTCACCGCGGCCCCCTTGCTAGGAGGGAGGGTCCTCCTTTCTCACTGCTGTGCCCAGGCCTGAGGGTCGGGGAGGGGGGCGCTCAGGCCCACACCCCCACCCTGCTCCTTCCTTCTGCTGTGCAGGGGGCATGTCTGTGTCCCAGTGCCCACAAGAGGACAGCCGGGGCAGCTCTGGGCCCGCCCACGAGATGGCCGCCCCTAAACGCACCTACGACATGATGGAGGGGCGGACCAGTCGCGCCATCTCCGCCACTGGCATCGAAGGTGAGGCACAGGCCGGTGGGTGGGGTGGGGGGTGTCTGTCTTGTGGCCCCCCGGGATGGCCCTTCCACCCAGTCAGCATCACGCGCCCTGGGGGTAGGGGCGGCCAGAACATGGTGGTGTCCCACCCCACCCTCGCCAGGTCTCATGGGACGTGCCATCCCGCCGGAGCGCCACAGCCCCCACCACCTCAAAGAGCAGCACCACATCCGCGGCTCCATCACGCAAGGTAACCGCCACGGGGAGGGGTACACACACGTGTGCACGTAGCAGACATGTCCCCACTCAACGTCAGACCCAGACACAAGTGGGTAGGTGGGACATGGCCGGTCTTCACTTGCTGGGAGCACACGGCTGCTCTCGGCCCCCGTCGGGGCCATGCATCCTGTCCCACATCGATCATGTGCCTGGGGCTGGAGCGGGGCCATGGTCCGTCTGTCCTGTCCATGGGCAGCCCGCCGGGGCTCCTGAGTCGGGTGGGTGAGGAGGCTGAGGGACCCTCCCCCGCCTCCCGCAGGCATCCCTCGCTCCTGCGTGGAGGCCCAGGAGGACTACCTGCGGCGCGAGGCCAAGCTGCTGAAGCGCGAGGGCACGCCGCCCCCACCCCCGAGAGACCTGCCCGAGGCCTACAAGGCTCGGGCCCTGGACACCCTGGGCCCGCTGAAGCTGAAGGCCGCCCATGAGGGGCTGGTGGCCACCGTGAAGGAGGCGGGCCGGTCCATCCACGAGATCCCCCGGGAGGAGCTGCGGCACACGCCCGAGCTGCCCCTGGCACCCAGGACCCTCAAGGAGGGCTCCATCACCCAGGTACGGCCCTTGTGGCTTGTTCCCGGGGACCAAGGCTCAGGCGCTCCAAGCACGCGGGCGGGTCCGCTCTCTTCCTGTCCCTGGAGAGAGAGGCGCAGCTGCTTTCCTGGGACCACACAGCACGTAGGTGGGGGTCAGGAATCTCCAGGTGCACAATTGGCAGCGTGGCCCCAGCAGCTACCCACCCCCACCCCAAGACCTCAGTTTCCCTGCCTGAAGAATGGGTAATGGGTTCCAGGCTGGAAAGGAATTGTTCTTGCCCTGGGCCTCATGCTGCCAAGGGTCCACCACACCGTGTCCAGGGAGGGTTGGCGAGCTTCTTGTGCCCTCTGTAGTCGAGCCCGCGAGCCCTGGGGAGGCTGTGAGGGGTGCGGGCTCACGTTCCCCGTCCCCTAGGGCACCCCGCTCAAGTACGACAGTGGCGGCGCCCCCGCACCCAGCTCCAAGAAACACGACGTGCGCTCCCTCCTGGGCAGCCCGGGGCGGCCCTTCCCACCTGCGCCCCCGCTGGACGTGATGGTAGACGCCCGGGCCCTGGAGCGTGCCTGCTATGAAGAGAGCCTGAAGGGCCGCACTGGGGCCAGTGCGGGTGGCTCTGTCCCCCGGGGCACCCCGGTCATCCTGCCAGAGTTGGGCAAGCCCGGACGGAGCCCCCTGGCCTACGAGGACCATGGCGGGTCCTTCTCCGGCCACCTGCCCCGGGGCTCGCCTGTGACCACGCGGGAGCCCACGCCACGCCTGCAGGAGGGTGAGGGATGCCCCACCCCAGGTTCCTGATTCCTGTCCCCTCGAGGGTAGTGGCTGGGATGCGTTTCTTGGGAAGACGCTCCCCTCTCTCCGAAGGCCGGGCTCCACCCTCCCATCCCTGCTCATCCCTCAGGTCCAATCACTGGCTCTCCCACTCGAGGTCTTGTCACACGCTGCCCCTGCACCCAAAACGCCCCCTGCCCATTAAGTGAGCGGCCACGCAGCCCTGAGTCCTCCTGACGGCCATGCCAGCTCCTTGGAGGCCTTTGTCCTTGCCCCAGCCTGGTGGAACTCACACACCTATCCTCACGGGCGGCTCCAGCCACCAAAAGGGCACTGAACACCCAGGAAGGACGTGGGGAGCAGCCAACAAGCGTTGTCATTTCTGACATCTGTCACACACAGACACACACACACACACACACACACACTGATGGGCTGGAAGGGCCAAGGAGCCACTGGGTGTGAGCCGCCTGCCCACCCTAGCACTTAGCTGCCTGCGCCACTGAGGCTGAGCTGACGGGCAGGAGGTGCTGAACAAAGGGACGGAGCAGCCAGGGAGGTGATGAGAGCTGAGTGGACACAGGCCACCTGCCCCCATCCTCCCCCAGTCTCTGGTCTCTCAGCTTCTGAGGGCCAGGGGCGGCCACGCCGAGTCCCAACACTGCCCCTGGCCCCCACAGGTAGCCTCTCATCCAGCAAGGCGAGCCAGGATCGGAAGCTGACGTCCACACCGCGGGAGGTCGCCAAGTCCCCGCACAGCACCCTGCCAGAGCACCACCCCCACCCCCTGTCCCCCTACGAGCACCTGCTCCGGGGTGTGAGTGGCGTGGACCTCTATCGTGGCCACATCCCGCTGGCCTTCGACCCCACCGCCATACCCCGTGGTCTCCCCCTGGACGCAGGTGACTGACTCCCAGGGGGCAGGGGGAAATGGGCCTAGACCCTGGGGGATAGTCGTTCCAAGGTGGCCAGGCCCCGGGGTGCCCTGCCCTCTCCAGCGGGTTGTGTCCCGGCCTTAGTCACGTGATGGTACGTGAGCACGGCCCGGGGCGGAGCAGCTGTATGCGTGTGCGTGGTCTGGGCCTTGGCGTCCTCAGGAGGGGTCCCCGTCAGGTTTGCGGCATGTGTGTCCTCTGGCCCGTCAGGCCCGGGTGTGGTTTTGTGCCCCTGCTTTCAGGGGAGCTCTTGGCCGGGTCACCGGGCTGGGTGGCGAGGCTGACACTGCTCCACTCTGCTTCCCCGGCAGCTGCCGCCTACTACCTGCCCCGGCACCTGGCCCCCAACCCCACCTACCCGCACCTCTACCCCCCGTACCTCATCCGTGGCTACCCGGACACAGCAGCCCTGGAGAACCGGCAGACCATCATCAACGACTACATCACCTCCCAGCAGATGCACCACAACACAGCCGCCTCCGCCATGGCCCAGCGCGCCGACATGCTGCGCGGCCTCTCGCCCCGCGAGTCCTCGCTAGCACTCAGCTACGCCGCCGGCCCGAGAGGTGGGTGGGCAGGCTCACGGGTGAGGGCAGCCAGCCTCGTGACGGGCTGGTCTCGGCGGCAGTGCATCTGGTGTTCGCTTTGGCTGCATTTTCTTGGGCTGGGGGTTCTTGGCAACTTACAAATGGAAAGATCCGAACAGGCTGTTGTCCCCTGAGGGCTGTCCCTGTGAACAGCTGTGGCCCTCGGGAGCCACGTCCCACAGTGGGGAGAGCACCCTCTGCAGGCTCTGGAATGACCCCTGGGCTATGGCTGCATCGTGGAAGATTTTCATTGCCCGGGGGTGCAGACTCCTGCTTTTCTTCCTAAAAGTGGGTGGGGGGCAGTGAAAGTGTGGGGGCCAGTGATGGGAAGTCCATGTCTCATGAGAGCGTAGACGGAGGGCTCCAGTAGAGGGGCTGAAGGGAGAGTCACGGGAGGGGGGAGCGCCAGGCCGTGCTGAGGCCCCAGACCTGTGCTGCAGCAGGGGGGGGGGGCAGTGACTGCAGCCCCCGTCTCCCCAGGCATCATCGACCTGTCCCAAGTGCCACACCTGCCTGTGCTGGTGCCGCCAGCCCCGGGCACACCCGCCACTGCCATGGACCGCCTGGCCTACCTCCCGCCCGCGCCCCAGACCTTCAGCCGGCACAGCAGCTCCCCGCTGTCCCCAGGTAGGCCCACCCCCCACTGCCACACAGCATGGGAGACGTCGGCAGACGTCTGGGGGCTCAGCCTCGTCGGCCTCTCTGGTTCCCAGGGGGTCCCACCCACTTGTCCAAGCCGGCCGTGACGTCCTCGTCGGAGCGGGAGCGAGAACAGTCCATCCTTGGGGCCACCCCGACAGTGGAGCACGCGCCCATCTGGAGACCTGGTAAGGGCCAGGGACTGCCCCACCCCCCACCTGACTCGGAGCCCAGGAGTGATGACCCCGCGCCTGTTGCAGGGACTGAGCAGAGCAGTGGGGGCAGCAGCAGCCGCCCTGCCTCCCACCCCCACGGCCACCAGCACTCGCCCATCTCCCCGCGGACCCAGGACGCCATCCAGCAGCGGCCCAGCGTGCTGCACAACACGGGCATGAAGGGCGTTGTCACCGCCTTGGAGCCCGGCACGCCCACGGTCTTGAGGTGGGCCAGGTTGGCACCTGGCGGGACCCGCGGGGAGGGTGTGGATGAGTGGGCACAGAGGTGAGCAGGTGAGGGGGGCTGTTGGGGAGGGCAGATGGGCCGTGGGTGACGGGGGTCGGGTGTCTGGGCGGCAGGTGGGTGATCAGGTTAGATGGGTGTGGGTGTGTGGGGAGTAGGTAGGTAGGCAGTCAGGTTGGATAGCTAAGTTGTTGAGTAGGTGACAGGTAGACAGGTGGGTGGTGGGCGGATAAACGGCCTCTTTCTCCATGTCTGAACATGGGGTGAGATGAGCAGGCACTGGGGTCAGAGGTGGCGTGTGTGGGTCCTGCCTGCGTGGCGGTGGGCACTGCTGCTTCGGGCTGCCCCCTGTATGGGGCATTCGGGGAAGTCTGCCTGTAGGAAGCAGGAGGTGAAGGTCAAAGGCCAGCCCTGGTGCGGGGCTGCAGGGAGGCAGCTCCTCAGGCTCTCCGATCACTGGGTTGATATGGGGGGCTTATGCGTGGCCCGCAGGGTCCGTGCCAGTGGTGAGCATGGTTGTGCCACTCTGGCTGGTCGGGCGGCCCGGCCTGCAGCCAGCTGGGGCCCAAGAGAGGCTCAGAACAGGGTGGGGGTGTGGCCCTGCCTGTGACTCCCACAGCCGCCTGACCACTCCTCCCACTGCCAGGTCCACCTCCACGTCCTCACCAGTCCGCCCAACCGCCACTTTCCCACCCAGCGCACACTGCCCGCTGAGCAGCAGCCTCGACAGCGTCTACCCCACGCTTGGGGAGCCCACCCTCCTGGCCAAGGAGACTCCGCGCACTTCCCGGCCCGACAGGCCTCGCACAGACGCCGGCCACACCTTCCTCGCCAAACCCCCGGCCCGCGCTGCCCTCGAGCCCGCCTCCTCCCCCAGCAAGGGCTCCGAGGCCCGGCCCCTGGCTCCCCCTGGCCCCAGCCACGCGGCCATCGCCCGCACGCCGGCCAAGAGCCTCGGCGCTCACCATGCCAGCCTGGAGCAGCCGGCGCTGCCCGCCACGGCCGCGGACCCAGCCCGGGAAAAGACTCAAAGTAAACCCTTTTCCATCCAGGAGCTGGAGCTCCGTTCTCTGGGTAAGACCACCCTGACAGCGGCCACCTTCATAGACGCGATTATCATGCGTCAAATTGCTCAGGACCAGGGGCCGCGAGAAGGAGGCTCCCTGGCCGCCGTCTCCCCCCGCGACGACGGTAAGACTTCCGGCCGCGCCCATGGCCTCAGAGATAGACCTCGCTTCTTATCTCCCCGTTTTCCGTTAGCCCGGTGTTTGGTTGCACGCTGAGGCCGCCGCCCGCCCGCCCGCCCGCCTGCCCGCCCGCCGGGCCTCATCATTTGCACCTTGTTTTTGACATGATACTGTCGTGCCTTGGGTTCCTCTCCTGTTTCTGTTCTTTTTCGTTACTGAATGCGTCTGTTTGACGCCCACCGCCCACCCCTCCCTCTGCGCCTTCCTTCATGGGGGGCGGGGCTGCCTGCCACTGTGTACCCACCAGCTCTGGGTGGAGGAATTGAGGCATAGGATGTGGAGAAGGGGAGGAGCCGGGGTGGGGGGTGCAGGCAGCCCTGGGAGACCCTCCACCCCTCCCTCCCTGTCAATCACCACGCCTTGCCTCCCCTCACTCCGCCAGTGTCTTCCCTCCTCCTCTCTGTAGGTCTCTGGGAGAAGGCTTCCTTGTTTTTTGTTCTGTCTCTTGCCTTCTCCTCCCTCCCCACACACCCTGTTCTTCATCTCTGGCACCATCCCTCACCTGCCTCCCACCCCCACCCCCGCGCCCCACCCTATGTGAAGAGGAGGCCCCAAGACCCACCTGGCCTTGACGCAGCCCGCGCCCCCATGCAGGTTACCATGGCAGCGGCTGCAGCCCTGGGGGGGTCGAGCCTGTTAGCCCTGGGAGCCCCCCGGGCCTGGCTCAGGACAAGGGGCTCCCCAAACACCTCGAGGGGGCTGACAAGAGCCACATGGATGGGGATGTGCGGCACAAGCAGCCAGGTGGGCCTGGGTGGGGACAGCCACATCCCTGCTGTGCACTGGGGAGTCCAGCGATGGACCCATACCTGACCCACCTGTCCCCAGGCCCCGGGAAGCTCAGCAGCGAGGCGGCTCACCTCCCTCACCTGCGGCCGCTGCCAGAGAGCCAGCCCTCACCCAGCCCACTGCTCCAGGCCGCCCCGGGGGTCAAAGGCCACCAACGAGTGGTCACCCTGGCCCAGCACATCAGTGTAAGTACCTCCTCCCCCAGGTGGTCTGAGTCAGCCCTGGACCCAGAACTCCCCACTTCTCAGTCCCCTGTGTAGTCTGAGCACCGGCTGGTGCCTGACCGGTCCTCTTCCGCCCCCAGGAGGTCATCACGCAGGACTACACACGACATCACCCCCAGCAGCTCAGCACCCCACTCTCTGCTCCCCTCTACTCCTTCCCCGGAGCCAGCTGCCCTGTCCTTGACCTCCGCCGAGCCCCCAGCGACCTCTACCTCCCACCCCCCGACCATGGTGCCCCTGCTCGGGGCTCCCCGCACAGCGAGGGGGGCAAGAGGTGAGCAAGGCCCTGCACCCTCCATTACCAGGGCCAGCATGGCTCCCAGAGCAACCCAAGACCTGACCCAGGCTTCCCCCCTTCCTGAGGGGCGGGTGGGGCGGTGTCCCACACATGTGCACACATTTGGCCCTGTGGGGGGCAGAGGGCAGGGCATGGGTCAGTGCTTCTGGTCAGGTCCCCTTTGCTCCTGTGGAACCCACAGACGGTCTCTCAGTCAGAACGCCCCCACTTGGTGGCAGCGGGTTCTGGAGTATTTTCTCACATGCACACATAGGTACATACACATGCACACAGACGTGAGTTCTCTGTACGGTCACGCGTGTGTGTGTACCTGTGTGCCCTCCCCCACACATACTACCACATGTCCACAAGTACATGCGCTCTGGTAGAGACATGCATTCTCTGCACAGTCACACGTACACGTATGTACCTGCGTGCCCTGCCCCACAAGAGTATGCGCTGTGGCAGTCATGCCATGAGAACACAGAGCCACAGCACAAGGACATTCATTCACTCATGGATGCCTGCACGCATGCACGTAGTCAGTCCACACATATGGACACAGACGCCACAGGTTTGTAGTGGGTCGCACCCACACTACACACATGCACACACCCAGGTGAACACATGCACTCCCTGCACAGTGACACCCACACTTGCATACACTGCCCATGCCCATGCCCAGGGTGGCCGGGGCTGGTGCCGCCTGACCACCACGTGGATGCTGTGTACAAGGCCGGAGGGTGTGTGGCTGGAGTGTGCTGGGGGGGCTGTCTCTAGGATGGAGCACTGACCGGCAGCAACCACCCCCCTCCTTACCCCCCATTTGCACCCAGGTCTCCAGAGCCCAGCAAGACCTTGGTCCTGGGCAGCAGTGAAGATGGAATTGAGCCTGTGTCCCCACCGGAGGGCATGGCTGAGCCTGGGCATCCCCGGGGAGCCGTGTACCCGCTGCTGTACCGTGACGGCGAGCAGGCAGAGCCCAGGTACCCCAGCCTCTCTGCCCAGGCTCCCCGTAGCATGGTGCTCACGCCATAAGCTGACCATGGTCTGCAGTGCCCTGGGCCCATCTCTGGCCGGCTCCCTCTGCCAGCAGGTGCCAGAGGGGCTGAAAAGTGACATGGGGGTGAGGGCCGGAGAAGGAAACCATGGTGCTCCCTGCAGAGAGGCAGTGACAGGCGAGAGATGATTGGTTCTCCACCGAGAGGGCTGGCGGGGGCTGAGTGGCCCATCACCGAGGGCGTGCAAGTTCAGTGACTGACGGACTGACCTGGGTGCTGCTTCTCCCAATAGAATGGGCTCTAAGTCTCCGGGCCACACCAGCCAGCCGCCAGCCTTCTTCAGCAAGCTGACTGAGAGCACCTCTGCCATGGTCCGCTCAAAGAACCAGGAGATCAGCAAGAAGCTCAGCAGCCACAGCCGGAGTGAGGCCGATTACAGTAAGGCCTCCCCAGGGGAGGTGGCCGTCAGCAGGGACCAGGACTGGGCAGGCTGTGGTCAGGCCCATGTGGGGCACACTGCTGTCTGCTTGGGCTCCCCAGGGCAGGGGCCGAGCCTGGCATGTATGTCCTCAGGGAGAGACGGGCTTCTGAGTATATGACAGGCCCGACCTAGATGATGGGGCGCCTGGCCTTCACCCCAAAGACCTGAGGTTTCATCCCCATGTTCCCTCCAGGCATCAGCCAGCCAGGCACGGAAATCTTCAACATGCCAGCCATCAGCGGATCAGGTAACCAAGGGCTGGGGGGCACAGTGGCCTGGGGGACCCAGAGGAGGCTAGGCAGGGGCATTACCTGTTCCAGGACGCCCGTCAGTGCCATCTCCTCTCTACCTTGTGGCCGGTCCCCTTGATGGCTGGCTCTGGCCTACTTTCCAGTCCCTTTGCCTGTGGACGGGCTGCAGGGCTCACCCCCACCATATTCCCCTGCCCTCCAGGAGAGGCCCCTCGTGGGCTGAGGAGCCTAGTGTGTACATGATCTTGTCCGCCTTGGTGGAGGGGGGATGAGGGATCTTTTGGACCCTTTCAACACTGCTCCTACAGAGAAAGAAAGGGGGGCATCCTGCTCCTTATGTGATGGTGCTGTGGGGCAGTTCTGCTCTGCCCTTCCGCACCATTAGGGATCAGAGTGGACTCTCAAACCTGAGGGGGGGGGAGGGGGCGGGTGAGCTGGCAAGCTGCTTCCGAGACCAGGGCCCCGCAGAGCCCGGGGGACACCCACAGAGCGCCCGAGTCAACCCCAGGTGCTTCTCGCCCGTTCACCCACCCCTGCTGGAAGCCAGGCTTTTTCTGGACCGCCTGTGTGGTTGGTCAGACATGTAGAGACCCAGCCGGGAAGGCTGGGCGGCAGGTGGGTTTGGAAGAAGAGAGGCTTTCCCGACGGAAGGGAGCGCCCAGGCCGAGCGGTTGCTTCTGGCCACACAGCCGTGGTCCTGCGGGAGGGCCCTCGTCTGTACCCCACGTGGGGCATAAGCACCAAAACGGTCAGCCTGGAGAAAGTTGCCCCTGTGGGTTTGCAAGGGCCCCTGGCCCAACTTGGTTCTGGGCAGGCCAGGTCCTTCCCACTCAGCCCTCCCCTGCTCCCCCAGTTCCCCAACCCATCTGCATCCGCAGTATGGCAGGCGCTGGTGGGGGGAAGGGAGAGCAGATGATACCCCTCCCGTGGGCTGACCTGGAACCATTCCCCACCCCCACCCCCACCCCCAGGCCTAGTGACTTGCAGGAGCCAGGCTGGACAGGAGCCAACCAGCACCAACCTGGGCCTGGAGGCCATCATCCGGAAGGCTCTCATGGGTAAATATGAGCAGTGGGACGACCACCCGCCGCTCGGCGCCAGTGCTTTTAACCCTCTGACTGCCAGTGCCAGCCTGCCCGCCGTGCTCCCCATAACCACTGCTGACGGACGGAGCGACCACCCCCTCGCCTCGCCAGGTCTGCAGGCCGCCTGCCTCCGGGCTCCTCCTCCCGCTTGTGGCTTTGCCGCCGCTGTGCCAACCACCCCACCCCTGCAGGCACTGCCGCTTCCCCCACGTACCCACGCCCGCCACTGCCCACCCACGCACAGGTGCCCCAAGGGGAAGGGCAGTTGAATGGGGACGGTAGGGCCTTGGGAGGTGTCCAGATGCTACGTCAGCCCCCACTTTCCCCTCCGCTACCTACTGCACGGGCCCCGAGTCCAAGCCCTGGGCCTCCAGACTGGGCTCACCTGTGCTGTCCTGTAGGGGGCGGCGGGAAGAACAAGGTGTCGGGCAGACCCAGCAGTCGGAAAGCCAAGTCCCCCGCCCCAGGCCTGGCTTCTGGAGAGCGACCACCCTCCGTGTCCTCGGTGCACTCCGAGGGGGACTGTAACCGCCGGACCCCGCTGACCAACCGAGTGTGGGAAGACCGGCCCTCGTCCGCAGGTGGATGGCCTGCCCTAGTACCTGCTGCGGGGGTGGGGGAGCACGCCTGGGGAGGCAGGTGGCCAAGCTCACAGGCCCTCTCCCCACAGGCTCCACGCCCTTCCCCTACAACCCCCTGATCATGCGGCTGCAGGCGGGTGTCATGGCCTCGCCCCCGCCGCCTGGCCTCCCAGCGGGCAGCGGGCCCCTGGCTGGCCCCCACCACGCCTGGGACGAGGAGCCGAAGCCGCTGCTGTGCTCGCAGTACGAGACGCTGTCGGACAGCGAGTGAGCGGCACCTCCCACTGCCGGCCCGCGCCCGGCTCAAGCCTTAACTCGGACTCCCGCCCGGGCCGGCCCTGTGCAGACCTACTCAGGGGTGTTGCTCACCTGGTGCTCGGGAGGGAGGGCCCGCGGCGGCCACGGACCCGGAGCAGGACGACCACGCACCTCCCCGGCCACTGCCTTCCCCCCACGCATTTGGAACCAAAGTCTAAACAGCTAGCAGCCCCCGTCCCTCCCGCTTAGTGCTCTGGACAGATGGACACAGCCCTGTCCAGCCCCGAGACCGCTGGGCGCTGAGGCGCACTGGGGCAGCGGGCGCGCCGAGCACTGGGGCCGGCAGGCAGGTGGACACGAGGTCTTGGTTTACAGGGTATATTTTTGATACCTTCAGGGGATGAATTCAGATGTTTTACGCGAGCAAGGACTGACCCAGTATTAACGCCGCTGTGCTCTGCATCCGCTGACCATCGGGCGCTGCCCACGACGCAGGATGGAGGGCGGGGCTCCAGCCACAGGCCCACCCGCCCCTCCCCCTCGGGCAGAAAACCTGGCGCAAGTTCCGTCATTTACACACGTTCTGATTAAAAGCGAGTAATACCGGAGCCGAGGCAAGTTCTTTACCAGGGGCAGGTTGGGTGGTCGGGGCCCAGGTCCCCGCCCATCACCCCCGCCGAGTCCTGGGGCCCGGGACCAGCAGAGCCCCGCCGACAGTTCACGTGTTTTATTAAGACAACCAGGCGGAGGAAGCCCCTTGGCCCCGGGGTTTCCCGGGGTGGCCACACGGTGGCCGAGGTCACGCAAGTCTTGGCCCTGAGGGCACTGCGTGGACAAAGTAGCCGAAGACTCAGGGAGGGGGAGTGTGGGCTCCATCCTGCATGCCCCCCCGCACCGGGCTGTGCCGGAGTCCTGCCAGTCAGAGCCCCCCGGGGGCCGGGCCCTCGCCCTGTGCCAGCTGGATGCTGGCCGCGAACCTGCGGCTGGGCCGGCCCAGGCTACAGTGCAGGGTGGTGCGGAAGGAGCTGCGGGCGAGCTTGGGGAAGATGATGGTGGTGCTCTCGAAGTGCAGGGCCCGCGGGCGCGGCTCCAGGGTCAGCTGACTGCGGTAGCTGCGCCACGTGCAGTTGGGGGTGGCCACAACGGTCTCGCTGTACGCCGTGACGGTGGGCACGGGCGCATAGAAGACGTTGTCCCGGAAGTGCTTCTCTGAGGTGTACTTGACCTCCGAGTTGCAGCTGAGGAGGGAGCCAGGCTGGGTCTTAGCAGGAACCTTCTGGCCCTTCCCAGCCTCTCCCCCCCACTCCCCACGCACGGTGAGCCCGTGGAGCCAGGATGTGTCACCCACAGCGCTCCCCTGGGCTGGTGCTAGAAGTAGGCTGCCAGGCCTTTCTTCCTGGTGCCTCCGCAGGCCCCGCGGAAGCACTGGGGCAGACACAGCACGCAGGTGCGTGCACGGGACACACCCACCGCCAGGTGACACTGGCTCAGAGCAGCCTGGCGGGCCGGCGGGGCCTGGGTGGCACAGCCTGTGCTGACTCAGCGTCTGCCGGTCCTCTCCCGAGGACGGGAAGAGCAGACTCAGCCAGGTGGACCGGCGACGAAATGGGTGGGGAGCGTACACGGCTTGGCCGTGAGAAGAGATGGAGCCGCCCTGGTGTCCGGGCCTAAGGCTGTGTCGAGATCACCTTTCTCAAAAAAGAACCCCTTCGGGCCATCTGGACGACGGGTAGCCTGAGGGTGGTTGGAGGAGTCCTTTCCAGGAGGGCTAGGGCTGACCCCCGCTTGGGAACACGGAGCCCGAGCCTGGAAGAGCAGGTCCCTGCGTGGTCCCGCGCACACCCACCGGGGACAGGCGGAAGGGCTGGGGGCACATGTGTGGAGAAGAGGCCTGGACCACTGAGTTGTACACTCCAAAGGGCTGAAGCTAGGTTTCTGGCTACTGACGTTGAACTTCCCTAAGGCCTCCATACGTCTGCACCCACCTGAGAAAGATGCAGCTGGCTCCTGCACCTGCAGCTTCTGAGCGCCCCACATGCTGGTCTCCCACTGGAGACCCTGTCCTGTGCGGGGCTGCCTTCTGAGACTGCCTGCAGGTGCCCGTCATTACCGGTCCGGGCAGCTCAGTGCCTAGCCCACCGAGCCACTAGGCTCCATGTCTTGGGCTCGCTCACCCGCTGCCAGTCCGAGCGATGTGCAGTCTGTTCTAGCTCAGAGCCACGCTGCAGACATGGGAGCAGGAAGCGGCCTGGCCTGGCCTTGCGCATGGCCAGCTGCACCACAGTGCACTCATTAAGAACTGAGTGCAGCTGGGACAAGCTTGGGACTGGAGCTCCTCACCAGCTCAGGGTGGCCTGCTGTCAGTCTCGGGGCTTCCCCCTTTCCCCCTTAGGTGTCGGATGGGCTCGGGCTCAGCACCCTGTGTTGCCAGCACATAACTGTGCCACACAGTGTTTGCGGGCCAGCTGGCTGAGGAAGTGGCAGCCAGGCCCTCCTCCAAGCCCCCTTCTGGGTGGGCTCAGCCCTGGAACCTCACAGTGAGCACCCTCGGGCCCTTGGATCACTGAGGGATGCTGCACCACCAGGAGAAAGGGAGCCGCCAAGCCGGGGAGGAGGAGCAGGCAGGGTTGCGGCCATGCAGGCAAGGGCCTCCCGCCCAGCCTCACCCACTCACCGGATCTCATGCGGGGGCTCCGGGTCCAACTCAATGCTCTCCCCAAAGAACACAGGCAGCATCCTGGGCCTGGTCTCCGGCGCTGGCAGGGTTCGGGGGAGGCGGTGTGGCTGCGGGGAGAGCCGTAGACAGTGGCTGTCGGGGGCAGAGACTGCCCCTGCCCCGGGATTGGGTAGTGGCCTAGACCCTGGCTCAGAGTTCTGGAGATCTGGGGCCCCTCTGGGGGGGTGGTCCCTGGGCTCCAGCAAACTGCCCCCTGGGGGGAGGCAGACGCAACTGCAGGGAGTGGGTGAGAGGCCTTGTGATACCAGGAGGGGCCTGTGGCCCTAGCTTTGCCCGTCCAGGTACACCCTGCCCTGATGGGGCCAGCATTGGGTCAGGCATGGGCACGTGGCCCCCACTCCCAGCGTGAGGAAAATCCACCTGGAGGTCCTACTGCTAAAGGAGGTACGAGACGGAGCCAACACATGCAGCGCTTTCACCGTGTCCCCATTACCCCAACAGCCAAGGACCACCATTCCTAGCTGTCATCTTACAGGGGCAGGGGGCAGGGGGTTTCTGAGGCCTGACCACCAGCTTGGGGTGCACATCCTCTCATCCCCACCGAGCCCATTACCTGGTCGGCCCCAAGCCAGGTCCACAAGGACCCAGGTCCTCTCCCACCCTTCCTTGTGCTCCCTCCTGACAGATCCCTTGAGGGCCGATCAGAGACTGTCCTGGACAGGCCTGGCGGTGGGCAGTGAAGCGGGAGCCACTGTAGGGAGCGAGATGTTGGACACGGGACCAGAGGAGGCAGATAGGGGTGGACAAGCAGTGTGGGGCCCCTGCCCTCTGAGGCCTCCCTCATGCAAGACCAGAGGAGAGGGGAGACGGGGGAGGGATGGCCACCGTGACACCAAATGGGACGGCAGTCTGGAAACGGTCACAACGCCCCTGCCTGCTAAGTCACCAGTCCCCACCTAGCAGAGGCTAACTCTGGGGCTCAGACAGAGGTGGGCTGGACACTGAGGCTGAGCAGAAGCAGCACAAGGGCTGGCGGGTGGGTGGACCCTGTGAACTGTCCACTGCCCTGACCGATCTCAGCTGTTAGGAGCACTGTCTGCCAGGGCAGTGGCCTCCCACAGGCAGCAACCAGAGTGTGGCCAGCCCCTGCCCTCATCCACCACTTGGGGGCCACCTGACTTGGCACAGCCCTGCTCCACCTGGCGGCACAGCCCCCCACCCTCCCTGCACTCTGCCTCCGAGGACCAGCTGCCCTGTCCCCCTGGGCCTGCAGGAATGCCTTCCAGGACCCGTCACCCTGAATACAGACGCCACCTAGGTCAGCAGGGACCCCCACCTCCTCCAGAGTCAGGTGTCCCCCTGACCCCAAGCCTAGGCCCCAGACCAGGTGCCCTGATGCCGCACTGTCTCCTCATTTTCACTCTACTCTCCAGGTTCCCGTTTCTCTTTTATGTCTTTCCTTGGTTGACTGTTTTTCATTTTCTCTTCAGTTTTTTATTTTTTCCTGGTTGTCATGTGCCCTCCCCCTCACATTCACTTTGTTACTGTTATTGTTTGATTTTGCACCTACACAGCAGGAGACCTCACACCTTCTGGAGCCCCACCCACTGGGCGAGGGCCACTATCTGCTCCTGTAGCACCCAATCCCTGATACTCAGCAGCCAACACCTGCCCAGCCCACCTTCCGCCGCACCGCACTCGGCAAACAGCACCGTGTGCTCACGCCCACGCTCACGGGGTCAGCCATGGGTTCTGAGGACACGCCAGTAGAAATCACCAAGTAAAGATAACTGTACCCCACCCCATCTCAGACCACAGGTAGGATTGGTCCACACAGGAAATAAGGTGGTCGTGTGGGGCACAAGCAAGTGACCAAAATGCAGAGCCAGAAAACCTTCCTGAGGTATAAAGGGACACCTACCGGAACTCAAAATGACAGTCAGCCCCCATCCCAAACAAGTTCAGTGCAGTACCTAGAAAGCTGCAGATGCAATCGGGGAAGTAACCTTTGTAATAACTCAGGAAACACTGACAAAAGTGAAAAAAGTAGAGCGAGCAAACAGCAGAGTGAGCGTGAGGTCTCAGACACTGGCACTGGCGTGAGGCCACGGAGCAGACAGCCCGTGGGGACAGGCTGTGAGAACAACTGCCACGTGAGGGGAGGAAGTGTCACTACAGAGCCTCCCCGTGGGGAGGGAGTCCAAAAGGTAGCGTTAAACTTGGGGTGCAGGGGTTGGGAATTAATAAATTTGCAGGGTGACCTCAAGGAAAATGTGAGAACATGCTCATGAAAATTGAAAAGAGGAAAATGACAAAAACCGCAGCAAAGGAGAAAGTGATAAACCAACAATGATCTCAGCACAGAAGAGTGTGTGGAACAGAGACCAGAACACACGGCGACGACGGCAATCAATCCGCACCTGTCGGCAATTTCACCGCTCACAGACTGACGCAATGCACCAGCCCAGAGACAGAAGAAACCCATCCATGTCCACCTAAGAGTAGACACGGGCAAAACAGATTAAGAATCACAAGGGGGTGGTGGTGGTGAGGGGGCGTAATTTACAAGCAAGTCAAAGAACAGGCATGACTAGTTCCTGGTAAGTAGGTGTTGAGGCAGATAACGGCATGAGAGGTAAGAAAGGATGGTGTGTCATGATTGAAGGAAGGGTCAGCTGAACGAGGACATGGTCACACGTATCTACGGATCCAGTGAAAGCCTCAAAGTAGAGAACTCCAGTCATTGGCCAGTCGACTGTACGCTACTTCCAGGGAGGGCAGGCGCCCAACAAAGAAGGTGCAGAGCACCACACAGCAAGACTACCCTGTTCACGGATGGGCTGATGTCAAACTGAATATACTACTCAAAGTAATGTGCCCATATTGCAACCCCAAGCCAGGCTGCAACAACACTGCTTTAAAGAGAGGGGGTGGGGGTGGGGGTGGTTCGCTTTATGCGGGAAGAAGGAGCACACTACTCAACAACAACCAAGGAGGAGGCCCACTCCCTGAGCTCAAAACCTACTACACAGCCTGCTACACAGACACACGGACAATGGAATGGGGTCAAGAACCCAAAAGTAAATCCGTCTGCCTACATACATAGCTGATCTTCAACAAAGGACCGAAAGACAATAAGCAGAGAAGTGGCAGTTCTTAGCAAGTGGTACTGATACTACTTAGGTATATGGTTCCCGGATCAAGGACCTAAACAGAAAACCTAGAACTAGGGGCAAACTTACATGGCATCAATGTACTATCAAACGTAACTAGGAACACACAAGGCACGTGTGTAAAAAGATAACTCCTGCGACTGAACACAGGCCTGACCTTTAAAATGTGTAGAAGACGCAGTAGCTCAGTAACATCAATCTGAAAACTAGCAGAGGACCTGAACAGACCACCGAGCACGAAGACATCCAGGTGGACACTTGGATAGAAACGCTCAAGGTGACTGGCTGTTTCCCCCCAACCATGAAGAGCAGGGAGGGGCGGGGCAAGAAACCTGGAAACAAAAGTGCTTGGAGGGCAAAGAGAGACTGGACCCCTCATCCAGAGCCGGGAGGGCTGTGAAGTGGGGTCCCTTCAGCTGTTGAGAATGGCAATGGCCTGTGACCCAGCACCACCCCCTGTGGGTCTGACCGCGGGCATCTGTCCCTGTGTGTTACCTGTGGGCCTGGCAGAACACACCGGCAAGGCCTCCTGCCCATACCAACTCGCTGAGCATACGTGCTGAGGGTCAGGGCCGTAGTCCAGGGACACCAAGCTCAAAGGGCCTAACAGTCCCCAAAGGCATTGGTCTCCACCCCAAGTCAGTCAGTACCAGTCCCTACTCTTCCGGGCAAAGGGCCCCAGAGCCCCGCTCCAGCCCAGGAGGGGACGGCCCACATCGGCCTTCTCTGCCCTCGGTGACTGTCAGACTCAGGAAGTAACACGAGGTTTGGGGTGTGCCCGCTCCTGCTGCAGTAGGGGTGGCTTCACTGCTGGAGAGGGGACACTCCAGGAAGCTCAGAGCATGAGGTGCCTGTGACCTCCACATTGTCCAGGCTGGGGCCCCAGGCAGTGGGAGACCCCATGCTGGACTTGGGGACCGGCATCTGCCAAAGGCAGCCAGGCCTTCGCACAGCTTCCTCAGGCCCCTGCACTCGGTGGTCACGGGGGGCTCTGGTGGAACTTCCTGGTGGTGGCCGCCAGGGTCCTCACACCGCCCTTGACCCTGTCTGAGACCACAGGGAGAAGGAGCCAAGGAAGTGGTAGTTAAGGACCGGTTCTTGGCCGCCTCGGCAAACCCCGGGGTCACTTGGGGTCCATCATTCCACAATGTGGGCCAACGGGACGTGCAAGTCTGGTGCCCACAGCGGTGAGGCTGCGGGGGGCCAGGCTCGGAGTATGCTCTCTGGGCACAATCAGACACCCAGAAGGCTGAGTCCCCAGGAGCAGAGGGAGCCACCTCCCAGGGTAAGGTCTCGGGGGTGGGGGGGCAGTGTAGGGTTCCCTACAGCCGGAAGGTGCAGCAGCCCCAAATCCCACCTGCATGACCACAGCCCTACCTTCAACCTCATGGGAGGCAGTGTGGGTAGGGGGGCTCTACATACTAATGCTTTGAGGGGACAAAATGGCAGATCCTGCCCACACACATATCCTGCCATCGGTGTTCCCTGGCTGCCCATTACTCCCAGGGGACGAGCCAGGGTCCAAGCCTGTCAGTTACCTTTGCACGCTGCTACAGGGGGCTCATGCAGAGCTTCAGCCACCGACACTGTCCAGGAGGAAGCAGACACGGCTCTGACCTGCTCTCCTCCCAGCTCCGGACTTCAGGCTGCCACGGGCCCCTCCCACGTGGGCGGGACACACCTGTCTCCTTTCCACATGAGCCCACCCAGATACGCTGGGGCCCGGAAGTGCACTGGGAGGGCCCCAGTCTCCTTACTTCACCTACCCACCTCTCTGGGCCCATTTGCGCACACCCTACACAGACACCTCATCCCGCTTCCCAATCCCCCGTCCTCCGTCTGGACTTTGCCAGTGCAAACCGGAGGCAGAGAAGCTGGGAAGCCTTTGTGGGAGCTGAAGGAAGGGGCAAAGACTGCCTGCCCTGCTAAGTGCCAATCCACCAGGAGTCCTGTAACCCAGGGATAGAGTACAGTGTGCCTACCCTCAGGAATTCTCCCCATGCGTTGGGGTGTACAGCAGCAGGAGTGACCAGTGCTGCCCCAAATGCCAGCTCTAGTATCCCCAAGGCAGACAGGGCTAGTCCCCCTCTCACCCCGAAGGGGCATGCCTTCTGCCCAGCATGCCTGCCCACCCCAGTTGGCAGGTATATTGGGAGGAGCGCTCAAGCCAACTGCCTCCTCACCTACAGGTTCCTGCACCCTGCCTCCTCACAGCCACCCCGCCCCCAGCTCAAATGAACTGTGGGTGAAGGCAGCAGATAGGCCCCCTCAGAACCACCTGGTTACCCTGCTCCCTCACCATGGACCCCCCCAAAGGCCACTGTCTGCTTCTCAATCAAGTATCCGACTGGGGTTTCCAGTGTGGTGGTGGTGGTTGGGGGAAAGGGGCAGAAATCTCACAGTCATTTTTTGAAAAGAACAGTCACAAAACCAAACCCACTGCAAAGAGATCTGTTTGGACTCAGTGACCCTACAGCGTGGGGCAGAGCCAGCCCCGAGGGCTCCGACTCCCGCTTGTGGTCAGTAGGTAGGCTCAAACCCCTGAGGCCACGGCAGTCCCAGCTCAAGGAGACTGAAGGTCATGGGACTGGCCTTAGGGTTTCTGCGCCCGTGCATTTTGTGGGAGCAGATGGCCTCCGTTCTCCCCCAGCAGGCAGCTCCGTGCCTAACCCGCAGTGCTGTCCCGGCTCATAAACGTGATGTCAGAAGACCAAAGGGGCTTTGTTAGCAGGCAACCTCAGTTTGGCCCCCAAGCCTTGCCCCCAGGGGGTGATGATCAGTGGGCACAGGCTCCAGGTATTGTTGGTTTGGGGGTACATAGGAGGGACGTCCCTCCTCTGCGGCCAAGGTGGGGTCGAGAGCCATGTCCGTGGCCCAGCAGGCGCCCCAACAGCTTCCATGTCTTGGAGGGGCCTCAGCTCTGCCCAGACCAATGGATCCTTGTCTGGAAGGCAAGTCCAGGCCCTTAAAACCAAGTGGGAGTGGGGCTAGTGGTGGGAGAAGACCAAGCTGCAGTGGGAGAGGACTCCGGGCGATGGGCAGCCACCCTGCAGGACTGCCGGGGACCAGGAAGGCAGGTGCTGGCAGTAGAGCAGAGGTGCCACCCAGTGCCCAGGTGCAGACTGGACAGGCACGGGTGACACAACATCAGTATGCGGGGTGGTGTGGTGGTGGCACCCTACCCTGATGCATGGGCTCTCGGGGTAGGGTGCCCTGCTTTCATCTGATCCTGGAGGGCTGCAGCAAAGGCAGCAGGCAGGTGATGGGGTGTGAAGTGGTGACAAGGTGGCCTTTGGCAACCGCTGCCTCTTTCCCTGATGAGAGCAGTATCTTCCACGTGCCTCCCCCCGCCCCCCACAGGGTCTCATTTACTTAGTTTAGAGAAAGCAGCCATCCATTAGCTACCTGGAAGACCAGGTGCCACTCTGGCACCCCCTGTGGTGAAGGGCTGTGCCAGGTAGTCCCAAGGTTTTGCTGTTGCCCGGGGCTAAGTTCACAGGGCACATCACATCCCGGTCCTGTCTCCCTCCCTCCCCCGAGCTCCCCACCCCAGACCACTAGCCCTTCGGGTCTGGGGGTCCTCGGTGGCTCTGAGGAGCACGTTCCTCTCGGGTGTTACCGTCATGTAACAGGCCTGCAGCGGTCGGGCTGGGCCCCAGTGGTGCAGCGGGTTAAGCACTGGGCTAATTGAACTGCCTCTGGGAGAAAGAGGCGTCTGCCGGCTTCCTTCAAGATGTATGGGCTCAGGAACCCTGGGATGTAGCTCTGCTTTGCACGTACAGGGTTCGCTGTGAGTCCCGATGGCACCCAACCTGATGGCAGGGTGTGGTCTTTGGATGGAAGTTGACCCTAGGGGTTCGGTTCAGTTCTGGCCTGGCCTCCAGGTTCTACCAGTTTCTCTTGGCCCAGGCTGGTCTTCATGATCTTGAATTTTGCTCCACATCCTTTTCTCCGGCCCTGTCCAGGATCTCCTCTGAGGATGCCAAGGCAAAGCCGCAGCAGTGTCAGCCGGGCAGCATCTGGCCTCTGGTCTCAGAGGGGCCGGGAGTCTGTGATAATGGTTCCCCCGAGTCAGTGTTTTCACGTGGCGGGGTCTTCAAGAGCCGAGTTTCTTCAGAAACAGACCACCAGGCCCCTTTCTGCTGAGATTTCACCAGCCCTTTGGGGACACTACCTGGGAGGAGCGGGGCTGTGAAGAGCAAATGGGGATGTGGGCCGAGTGCCTGTGTTCGCTCCAAGCTCCACAATTTACCAGCTGGGTGTCGTCAGGCCAATGATGCACCCTCTCTGAGCCTCAGCCTCCCCGTCTGTGAAAAAGGTGCACAGCCACAGCGCAGACTGGACATCAAGTGAGTGGACTTAGTCCACACGGCCGAGTGCTTGTGGTTTTCCTGAACCAAGCTCTTACCGCAGGGTGGGAGTAGGGGAGCTCGGGGCCGACTGGGGCCCCAAGTTTGCCCTCCAACCAAACGCAAATATCAGAGGTGAGGTTCCCTGGCTGGCATCGGGTTAGCACAGGGGAGCAAAGAGACAACCAGATCGCAAGCAAACCCAGAGAGCTGGGCACACCTTGTGGCCGGCCTGGCCGGCCTGCCCGGCCCTGCGGAGAGAACTCCCTCCCTCCCCTCCCTCAGGGGCCTCCTGGATCAGCCAGACATCAAAGGGGGCTGGCTCCCTGGCCATGTTCTCTGAATGCTTCCCATCAGAACGGGCAGGGCCGGGTAAATGCACTGGGTCTGTGGCCATGCTGGCCACTCCTCCCTCACCAGCCCCGCTCTGGCCCAGGGCCCAGTCCCCACCGGAGCATGCCCCACCGCCGGACATTAAGTTCAATGCAGACCAAACCTGGAGACCAGGGCTGTGGCTTCCCTCCCTCCCTCCCACCCCCATCCCCAGCCCAGGCACCGCCTAGATTCCACGTCAGCACCCCTCTCCAGCCTGAGAAGGAAGGGGTTTACCAAAAAAAAGAACGGAAGGCTCTGATGTTGGCAGCACTGAGGACAGTAAAAGAGGGGCGGGGGGAGAATAAGTGCCACGGACACATGGCCGCAGGCTAGCCGACTTCCTTAAAGTCACACTATTCTCTGCCCCCTCTCTTGGCTGACAACAATCACGCCCCCCAAAGAAGAGAGTCCTAGGGTCAGGCTGGACCACATCTGGGCACCCCCACCCCCACATGCATATCGGGTCCCCCCACCTGAGGAGCATGGGTGTCACCAGGCCATTCCACCAGCCCAGGCAGGGGCGCGGGTGAAGGCGACCAGCCTTGCCTTCCTAGGCCAGGCGACCGGGCGCGGGGCGGGAGGGCCCCCACCGGGCGGCCAGGGCCCGGGTGCGCACAGGCGCCATCCTTACCACTCTGGGTTCGCCGGCCGCCGGGGGCTCCGCGGAGAGGCCGGGCACCGGGCAGTAGAAGGGCGGGCTGGGGCTGGGGCTGGGGGGCAGCCCGGAGTCGGGGCTGTCTAGCAGGCCCTCTCGGCTCTGCTGCTGGAGGCGCTCCTCCATGCCCTGCAGATGCAGGTGGCCCACCATGTCTGGGCGCGGGCGCGGCCCGGACGGCTCGCCCGCCTCTTCCCTGCCTGCTCGCGCCGCTCGGCTGGGGCTGGGGCTGGTGGGCACCCGCCTCTTCGGGCTTCCCGGCGCGGGGGCAGCGTTTGCAACTGCTGAAGTCGCCGACTCGCGCTCTCGAAGATCCCCAAGATATTTCCGAAGCCCCGGCGCGCCGCCTTCCACGGGCAACGCCACTTGCCAGCCGCCTTCTGCACTCCCGTGCTCCGCCTTCTCGGTTTCCACCAGTCTCCGCACCCAGGACTCAGCCCAGGAGACCCCGAAGTCGTCTCTTGTATAGCACTGGCCACTGCGCCGAGATGTGCGGACTCTCCCTTTGGGTACTCCGATGTGGGCATTTAGAAATGTTTTTTTCACCCGGAGCTGCGAACGAGAGACGAGACTTCGTTAGGTGAAGAAAGGGTGAGCCTGGTTTCTGGATCCCTCTACCCGCAAACGTTGTTCCAGCTGAGGTCCCTCTTCTGGCCCGGGAGCTCATGAAAAGGCAGGCTGGGCTGAAATGCACTCAGCTAATGACGATGCGACGCCCTCCACCGCCCCGCCAGCACTGAGCAGCCCCTGTTTGGTGTTACTTACCTCGGGCTGCAAGGATCTCCTTCTCTTCCTAGCTGCCTCCCTGCCAGAATGTAGGCTTCAAGAAAGCAGAGTCCTTATCTTATTCATCATTTGAACCTCAATGTCAAAACCAGTGCCTGACACACATGTGGGCAATCAGTATTGTGGAATGAATGACAACTTCTCTGTAAAATAGGAGAACTTGTGATAATAATTGCTGGTTTTGATTGTCATCTTTCTATCTCCATTTTCCCGCCCCC